GCTTGAAACAGCCTTTTCAAGTATTCCAAACTCGAATTCAAACACATAGGTTGCAAGAGTTTTGTTTCGAGCTTTGCACAAAACATACTGTACTCAGAACAATACTTGCCCGTTTTGAGCAACATATTGACATGCTCAGTGTTGCTCCTTGCTCTGCAATTCAATGTTGGGTTTTGTGATTATTATAATATTTTTCCATGTCTAGCCAGTTGTGTATCTGCATTTGTTGGCTTAGACTGGGTGGGATGTTCTGGTGATGGAATGCTAAGGCAGAGTAGAATTCCTTATAAGAATCTTGAGGGCTAAAGAGCCATGAGGGACTTTGCTCTGCCAATGGGGAAGGAGGATGAGTTCAACTGCCCTTCAATTGACCAGAAGCAGTTCTAAGACTGCTACTATTGTTTGCTTCACCAGTAAGTATCTGTTTTCCTGTTTGCCTGCCTGCCTGCCTGCCTCAATCCCCCATCCCTCCCTCCACTCTCTCTCCCTCCCTCCTTCTCCCTCCTCCATCCATCCATCCACCCCACCCACCCACCCATCCATTCATTTCACTGTTGAAGCAACTTTGGGCATTTTACCCTAGTGGTGAACTTTAAAGCAATATTGTGTGCTGGATATAAGACAGATATCACCCTTCTCTATTTTTAAATTTATCTTCTTTAGACATATCTCTTTTACTCACTCTACCCCTATTTATTCAGGTGGGTGTGGAATAATAAATTTATAGTTAGATGGGGGCTATATAAACCTTCATGAAATCCTAACTTTTTAAAAAAATCAATGACTTAGAAGTTATAATCAGATAAAAGGCCAATTGGTAATACTTTTTGCAGCAGAAATAATGGGATCAATTGTCATCATAGTGGATACCACTACTCATAGTGAGTACCTCTACCTTCCTTTAGAAGGCCAGAAGCTGAGTTTGAGGGACAGGGAATGAGGAGTTATCCTACCCCGTGAATGAAGATCACAAATAGTGATAGAGGTGATGCAGATGAATCAGTAGATTATCATCAGCAAAGTGGGGGAGGGACCATCGGATGGGGTAATAGGGCTGCACTTTAAGCTTGCAGTTTTAAGACCCATTGTGATGACCTGGGGCGTGGCACAAAGGCAACACAGTCAAATAAGCAAGAAGTGTCCCTTTAATATCTCCAGCTTTGCCCCCAATGTCCAGGTTACTTTTGACTGGAGAAAAAACCCTCCCAGGAACAGTCTTTAAGTGGAGGAAATTCAGTCCGAAAACAAAGTACATACAAACTATAAATAAAAATCCACAAAAACCACGCTGCAGTAATTAACTTGACAGGGCAGGAGAAGAAATTGCAGACTTGAAAGCCCAGCAAAACACACACACAGTTGGGAAGACGCCAGGAACCCAGATAAGCCTCGATGATACCAGATAATTCACGATCTGCTCCCAACAACCTTGTTGTGCACAGCTTCCCTTTTTTAAACATTGTGTTCCCGGCTGCAGCTAATGAAGGGAATCAGGGCCCTTTCCTTCCCCGTAAGCCACGTAACTCACATTGCTCCCTTCTCCGTTCCTGCCTGCGTGCTCTAGGATGAAGACGGGGTGGGCCTGGGTCTTCCTCCGAATTCCCTCTCCCCTGCTCTGCTCGGCTAGCCTTTGCCCTTCTCAGTTTCTTCCACAGCCAACAGAGCCACACTCCCCCACTCCCTGTCAGCTTCTCGGCCTCCCCCTCTGAATCAGATTCAGGGGCATGACACCCATGTTATGCTTCTGAACTGTTGCAATAGGTGAGGACACCAACATTTTTTCAACATCATGAATACTTAAGCACCTTTTTGGACATCTTCTATGTCCTAGAATCATGGAAGGTGCCTAAGAAGTAATTAAATCCTAAACCTGCACTGTGCAAGGATTTACTACACTATCTCTTGATAGAAAACTATCCAGCTACCAGTGGCAGCAACAGGAAACAGTAGTAAGTGAAACAGTCATTTGTGAGCAAACAAGATGGTCCAGAGACATCAGATTGGAAATTATGTATATTATGGCTGATAAACCTTTCAGCACTTGAATGCAAGTCTCTTTAATCCCCAGGAGTAGAGAAATAATTGAAGCTGTTTCTATTCTTATGATATACAGCATGAGTCAGTTTTTGCTGTCAGTTCTTTTTTAAAGAAAAACTTTGAGTAATTCCAGGAATTGACCCAAAAGCGAAGAAAGGTTGATCAAGAATGGATATCTCTCCTGGTAGACAAAGCTCCTTGTTGAAGATGAAGTTCAGAAGGAGTAAGGGAGAAAAGGCTATATCCAAGAGAAGAGAGGCTTAATAGTAGTAGTAGCAGGCAGGACTGTTTCCAGCCTGGGAATTTTCTTGGCATGTCCAAGCATACCAACCTCATCTTTGCTACATTGCCAAAAGAACAGAAGCCAAACCACGTGAGCTTGAAGAAGATAAAAAACTGCCCATTTTGGATTACCGTACCTGAAAAAAGTTGATAGCAGCTGACCTGCCTCTCTAAAGCATATATTTATTTCATATTAGGGCAAGCTCCAGCTTCTTTCCCTGTGTGATATACATTACAAAGAGATTCCAGTCAGGGATCTCCTGAGTAATCTGTACTGGGGCCTATCTATTTATTGCCCCACCTAAGTTAAGATGATATTTTGCCAGCTTTCTCTCAAGTTCTCCCACCCACTCTCACCCCCTCCTTCATGCACAGCCCATAAGGATGTTGCTAGGTCCCAATCAGTCAAGGTGCAGTGACTCTGAAGAGGCCCCATACCATTCAAAGCACATGTATATGGAGGCAGTTTTCTGGATCGCAGCAGAACAAATTCCAGGCCAGAGAAAAGGAGAAGAGGATCATTGCAACCTTATGCCATTGTCTGTCAAATAGGTAAGTAAATTGGTTTTTTAAAGACACTCTTCGCTGTAGGGAAATTAGAGTTTATGAACGCCATCAACAGAATGCCAATGTCCCCTCATAAAGAAGCAGTTCATTGGAGATAAAATAAGGCAGGTAAAGCCAATTGTATATTATCTGCATGAACCGCAGTGTTTTCACACATAAGTGTTGCTAATGTTGAAACAGTTGTTATCCATTCTACATAGAAGAACTAACATGGTAGCATATTGGAATGGGTTTGTAACTTTTTGGGGGCATATGTCTTATATTATAAACAGAAATGTTTTTTTCAATTATAAAGATTGAAGTCAAAGTCAACAAGACATGAGGAAATGCACAGAATGCACATACACTATACATGCACACCAAAGCTTAGCAAACCAACTTAAAGTCTTTTCACAATGTCTTCACTGTTCATTTGGTTAAACTTTGACATTTATTTTGTTGATACATAGCTTCAAGGTGCATTTTAAAAATGCATTGTTGGTTGCATTTTGCTAGTTCAAATATGTATGTATTAATGCATGCACTCATAACTCTTGTATATTCATGTTGAACTTTCAAAAATTAAGGATTTTCTGTTGGGTTGATTTACTGGGCTTTGTTTTATGTGTGTGTGTATATATATATATATATATATATATATATATATATATATATATACACTACTCATCTACACTATTGTTTCTGATTTTGAAAAGAAGCATTTTTTCTATTATAGCAGTCAAAATTATTTACGCGCAATTTTTGCTGACAATTTTTTTCAGAACCTGGAAGTGGCTACAATAGTGCAGTGAATGTGTGTGTTCAATTTTTGTATGTGGATTTTTTGCTGTGGAAAAAGGAGGGAGGAGATACCTTTCTGTTTTATAGTGCACCTTTCTCCCTAGGAACCTAGCTCAGGCAAGAGTCAGACATTAATTGCAGCAGCCTTCTAAACTGGAACAGGCCCAGTACCACCATGTGTGGCTTTTGGCAAGAAGCTAGGCCAAAATGCTTTCATGTTGTTTCTATTTGCAATGGAAAATTTTAAAAGAGTAGGGGAAAGTTTTCAGACCACTATGGGCATGAGGGGCATCTCTTCCTTGATTTTTTTTTTTTTTAAGATGGAGAAAATGTGGTACATTCAAAGTCTGTTCCATCCTCAGAACACAGAACACTTGACTGGGGCTATTTTGTTCTGACCTCGAAACAAAATATGTTTCCTATTTTATGTATAACCATGCACATATCTATATTTTGTCATGATCAGTTCCAAGGTTACAATCGAATAATCTGCATATACCCCTTTTGTGTAAATTCATCATCTTTAATAATATTTTGCTTTTTACTTTGAATAGGTAGACATATAATTCTTGTTGCCATCTATATCTCAAGCAAACCTGATTCGTTTTTACATTTGTTCCTGCTTAAGAGATTGCATGTATATGGTCTTGATTCCTGCTTCTATGACTCTAACAGATCAAGATGGTAGAAGTAATGAAAGTAGCATTTTGAAGACAAGATTGAGTTAAGCTAGCAGCTTCAAAATCTTATGTCATGAGTCCTGCTGAAAAGACAGAAAAACACTTTATTTAAGCATGTTTTAGATATTATTAATTCAACTTCAGTATCAAATCAGATTCTTAAACCAGCATAAGGAAAATAGGATACAAAACAAAAAATAATGCAATGAAATAAAATTACATATAAAAAACTAAGAAATATACTATAATTTTTTAAAAAACTAAAACAATGTCTAAAAACCTAAAAAGAGGGTAAAAGCAATGAATAAGGCAAGGGGGAACATAGTAAACTGTCAACGATATTCCTTATTTGTGGGTATTTCTTACGGCAAGGAAAAATATGTCAGGGATGAAATGCTTTTTATATTCAAGATAAAACTAATGTTTTGCATGATCTAAGGAAATAATTACGAAAGATGACATTTATATATAGAATACAATATTGAGATGACATTGAGTACCTGAGCTTAATCTGATTGACTGATGAATAGTGTATCATTATATCATTAATTGCTTAGTTTTTGATGGATGCAATAAATTAGCAACATTTCTAAATGGATACATCTTCTCTTCTTTTTTCTCTCTTTCTGTTTGTTGGTTCTTCTTTTTCTGCAGAGGGAGAATCGCAGGCTTCAGGAAGCCAGCATGCGACTTGAGCAAGAGAACGATGACCTTGCTCATGAACTTGTAACAAGCAAAATTGCTCTACGAAATGACTTGGACCAGGTATGAAGCCTTCCTTTATAACTAAATTTCTGTGGAAATCAGAGTCCAATGATAAAAGAGAAATAAATAAACCAAAATAAAAAACATAATTATCCCTTAATATTTGGCATTGATTATGTGTGGAAATTGAGTTAGAAGTATAAACAAGAGTACTTGATGGGTTCAACTAGACAGTTACTACTGTTGCAATCCTGGAGAATTACGATAGAATTCTAATTACGATAGAATTTCAGTTCTTCTTTTAGTATTAAAGACAGTTGATTATATGTACGTCTTATTATCAGAAAACTCAAATTTGATATTTTTTCTTATGAGAAATTAGGATTTTGGAACACTATTCTTTAAAAAGGGTTGAGAATGTATTTTTTAAAAACAGGATTATTATTTTTATTCTACTATTAAATAACAAAACTCTTACAACTTTTGAGATTTTACAAAAGGAATATAGTTTATCTAAAAATACAGAATAGCAACACAGTACAAAAGCTTGTTATTTACATTTTTTACTCGTGTCTTCATGGAAATTCTAGAGACATTAAATATAATGTAGAAGGCCTTAGAAAAATAAGTTTGGATAATATGAAAGACATTTGGAATAGAGTACTGAGGTATTCTATATTTCCCAATTAATAGTTTCTGCCTTTAGTAAAATTAGTAATTTCTTACAACCTAAAAGCTTAATTACTTGAGCGAAAAACATTTAGAGTTATATTCAAAGAAATGCTTTAAAAAATTTGGTTCTCATTGTTTCTATGCTGGACATAAATTTGAAAGATTTATGTAGGCCCTCTTTTAATTCTTTATGGTTAAAAATTATCACTATGCTGAACAAGGGTCTTGGATGGCCGTTAAAGGTCAAATATGTTAATGCCCTGTTTAATCATAATCCAAAATCCCTGGAATATGTCAAAGGAGAATTTTGGATTTATCAACCTGGGGAAAATATGATTAGGTACGAATGGTTATGTTCCAGAATAAAAACATTAGCTAAACAGATATTGTCAGATCTCTGCCTCTGAAATAGCTTTGAGCAATGGAAAGGAAGACTGTAAAATATGATTTGAAATGGTCTAGATGTGTTTAAAGGTGAAATTGTAATGATTACATTAAAGAGCATCATATAAGGTAGTTCTCAGTAGTTTGATTTCTTATTTAAAATGGTTCTTGTTTAAACTAGAATTAAATATAATGTTGCTGAGGGTTGTTTTTAGTATTATTTTCTCCCCACCCCCACCCCGCTTATTTTCTAGGGGCCTTTTGTCTTTATTATCTAGAGGATTTAATATAGGATTATTATTTTTCTTTTTTCCCTCTACTACACAGATTTTTAATATAATAGTTTTTTTGTTAATAATCATTTACTATTCAGTAATAATAGTAGCCAATACATATAATATTAAAAAGTTGAAAAGTTTTACAGAATTGATAACTTTATAGCTTAATTTAAAAAAAATTAAAGCAGAATTAAGTGTTAGGTTTGGATGCTACATAAATAATTGCTCCATATGTTAACTACTGGCAGAATGATAAAAATAATTGGATTGGAAGTGTTGGCTTTGAATATTTCAATATAGATATATGTATCACAGAGAATTGTTTACAATCCCTGAGTTCCAGAATTTGGGGGAGGGATAGACCCCGGTTGCACCTATGTCCATATCTTATTTATGGACCTTTGCCTGCACTGCCCATGCTAACTAAGGGGATCTCATTGTTCAGTCCATGTCACTCTGAAATTCCAGGCTGAAGATAAGGCAGATGTTTTGAATAAGGAACTGCTCCTGACCAAACAAAAACTAGTGGAAACTGAAGAGGAGAAGCGAAAACAGGAAGAAGAAACAGCGCAGGTAAAATGAGTTCCATTGATTCATGGGATTATACCAAAGAGAAAATGACAAAGAAAGTACCACTCTCTTACTGTAAAGAGATTTTGATTCTCTTAAATGTTTAGTGTATATTATTCTTGTTTCAGTTACATAGAACAACATTTTCTTAAGATCTTTGATCTTTGAATATCACTAATATTCAAAGAAATAGAAATAATTCCTAAACTCGTTGGACAGATTTTAAGTCATATTAGGAAACAAATTAGCGTGACTAGCAAGAGCATTAAGATGCTTAAGCTATGTGTTCTGTCAGTGCAAGAAGTCAGGAGCCAGAGTAGAGTTCAAAAATATTACTGATTCATATTATTTATATCCAAGAATCTGAACTGCTAATGTTTAAGGTGATAGGTGCCAGATAAGAGCCAACAGACTTCAAGAGGTGCTGAACTTAGGTCTCTTATGGGGGTTTCGTTTCCAAACTGGTTCGGCTCAGCTTGGTCATCTCCTACTTGTTCCTTTTGTTATCTATCCTTGAATTCTTGCATCTCTTGAATGAGAAATCAGAGTCAACACTATTTATATATGTCAGTATAAGAAATCATGTTTCAAAGCGTTTTTTAAAATTAACTGCAGTTAATTAATAGCCAGTTCATCACTCTAGATATTCAACACACTGGAATTAGTTTAACTGCAGGATTAAAAATTTTGTGAAATCCTCAAGTCAATAACTTCTTGAAAGCGGGCAACAGAATTTCATTTTTAATGTGTGCCAGTATGCTCACAGTAAAAAATAGCAATAAAGGTTACCTTATCTCTTAAATTCCAGTTCAGGAATTTCACTATAAGGCACACTTTTATGTCATGAAAATCCAGTTGACTTTTAATTAAAGGATAGCAATATTTTGTTATTCTAGGAATTAAATGGGTAATTTAATCTCCTAAAATAAATTATAGCTCAGCATTTTCAGTTTTATTTATTTATGTCTACATTTCTATCCTGCTGCAATTCAAAGACTTTCAGCAACATACCAAAGATATGAAATGGTAGTATAGAATAGTAGCTTTTTTAAACAAATAGTATATTTCAAAATTGTTCAGTTATTTTTTTAGTTACCTAGATTTTTTATTTGTTTGACTAATATTAGTGTTAATTGATTTTTTTTCTTTATGCAGCTGAAGGAGATGTTCAGAAAGCAGTTGGAGAAGGCGGAATCTGAAATAAAGAAGACAAGTGCAATCATTGCAGAATACAAACAAGTAATTATGTTGGTTTGTGGAGGGTTGGGTGTTGAGTTTTCAGTTCTCTTTTAAGTTTATATAATTTGGAGAGGTACGATTCTGTTAAGTATATTAATTTCTAGGTAAAAGTTTGAAATGGTATGACCTAGGTGCTTTAACAGTGTCAGAGGTACATGGAATCTTTGGATCTTTAAGAGATGCAGTTCCTGACATGAAATCAACCAATATTTGGAATTTAAAAGTAGAATGAAGATTAGCAATGTGTCCACTGACCTCTCAAATAACATTTTAAAAAGTGTAAGCCTGAGAGATCTTGTCCAGCACTAGCTTTATTTTGGTTTCAAACTGTAGCATATATTTTTTTATTTCATTTATGATGTGTTTATTTTTACCATGATAATATATTTAGGGTTTTATTTCTGTAGAATCCCTAATGCATATTTTGTTAGAGTTTGTATTTCAGTAATTTTAACTGAAAATACTAACGCATAGGTGTTAATTCTCAGGACAAACCTCAATCTATTTGCAAGTTAAAATTTACTTCTTAGCCATCAAACAGCAAAGTCTAGTTAACAAACATGCTTTCTCCATGTTTAAAACTTGCAATAAACATGTTATAGATTGCTAATCATGATTCTCATACCAATAGTTGTGGTATCTTAGTTTTAATAATCTTAGAAATACCATTCAATTGGATGTGAATGACAGAGTTGATACACTGTAAGGAACTAATATACTGATTCATTTTAAATATGTTGTTATTTTATTAAAGAATGGTTAATTTTTGAAATTTCTTTGAAAAGGATATCCCATTTAAAATACTCCACCTTTTTTTAGATTTGTTCCCAGTTGAGTAGCAGACTAGAAAGACAACAAGTAGCCAGTAAAGAAGAACTTGAAGTTGTAAAGGTAAGAATTGATTTCTCTCAGCTTATAATGCCTCACATTAAATTCATACTGTTAGTGATAGGCAGGAGGAACAGGCAATTTCACAGGCTGAAACAAAATTGTTAATGGTTAAAGTTATCTATTACCAGTAAAGATTAAGGAGTTGTACAGGTATTGGCCTAAGAAATTTTCTTGTACAGTGGACTTACTGCAAGGGAGACATGTTCTTGTATCCTGTGCAACCTTTCAATCAAAGGAATGCTAATATGTCTAGTCTGGTGCAGCCTTTTCATCAAAACTACCATGTAAAATTAATTTTTAAAAAATTACTCAAAAAACCAAGGCCAAATTGTTACATAACCATCACAGATACTTAGAAGAATCTCATGGGGTTCTAGAAACAACCTTCCAAGTACAGTTGACAATGATTACAAAGGAAAAAAAAACACAAAATCCAAGGATCTGGAAAAGAGATGTGGGAGTAGTCAGCAGACATTACTAGTCATCAGAATAAACAGGAATTTAAAAAACGAATGAAAATACCTGGTTCAAACAGTAGAATCACTATAATTTTATGTTATTCCCTGTCATAATGTTTTCCAAAACATTACTGAACATATCAATAATACACAGGTTTATTGAACAATTAATCTTACTTCCTGAATCATGGCTAAGGGATGTCCATCAAATTGGCACACAGTACAATACAAATTACATTCTTTGTTAGCAAGTTCTAACAAAAACTAGACTAAGACATATCACAAAAAAGGAAATGGGAACAGATCTCCATTCAGTGCAGGCCCTAATTTTGTCTTGCATTTTGCACCTGCAATCCAAACTGCGTAGGATAGCAGGCCAACTGGAGCAGCTGTTGAAAAATAACATAAAATATATCCCAAGATCAGTGGGGAAGAAGAGCTAGCAGTGGATCAGGTGCTAACTCTGCTTTGAACATTTTCACCTATCTCCTTTTCTTGTTCAGTTGTGCTACAGTTTACCTGCTCTCTCTCCTAACTGCCTTTTTCCACTTACTGAGGCACAGTATAGGATGCTTCATTATTCGGTCATTTCCCCAATAGCATATAACAATAGCACTTAGACTTATGTACCACTTTATATAGTGCTTTACAGCCCTCTCTAAGCAGTTTACAGAATCAGCATATTGCCCCCAACAATTTGGATCCTCATTTTACCCACTCGGAAGGATGGAGGGATGGGTCAACCTTGAGCCTGGTGGGATTTGAACTGCCAAATTGTAGGCAGCTGACTGCAGAAGTAGCTTGCAGTACTGCACTCTAACCACTGCGCCACAGAGGCTCCTTATAGGCCTACTCTTTAGAAAATATGAAGTGGCAATACTGCTGCAGTTTCAGTGAATATGCTGTTCTCCTGTCAAGGAGCAACATGAACAAAATCTATTAGTTTATTTTGTCTGGCCTGGTTTGCAGATACTTCTCCTTATTCAAGTGTTGCTTCTTGACACAGTGATAACCACAACTCTTTGCTTTCACATTCCATATACACTAGTATGTTATATATTTTTCCTTTTCAAAGTGTGGATTGGGAACATTTCTAAAATAAAAACTCCAGAAAATCTTATTATAACGGAATGAGGAAAAAAAAAATCCTAGGTCACTAACCCTCCATTCCTTATATTATACTCATAGTCTGTAATAGATTTACTCTTGACATGTCATATTAGATAATATTCTTGGCTGAGAAGAACACAGGCCAACATGATTTTATTTGCTCAGTGATCAGTCACCTGAATATCAAACTGATATAGTGAATACAGCTGGACATTTCTGTTTTTCTTTTTGTATCATGCTCATGTAATTGGCTATTTTAGGGAAAGGTGATGACTTGCAAACATTGTAGTGAAATTTTCAGTAAAGAAGGAACATTAAAAGTGCCTGCTGTTAAAGAAAGGTCAGGAGAAGACACAGATGATGAGAAAGATGCCCTTAAGAAACAACTGCGAGAGATGGAACTGGACTTGGCACAGACTAAGCTGCAACTTGTGGAAGCCAAATGCAAAATACAGGTAATGAGATTTTAGAAGTATTTTCTTACAATGTTAAATGTATCAATTGTCATTGCATCCTTCAATAGGCAAAGAATTTTTTTTCTCCTGCATGAAGGCATTTGAAAGTTAATGGCTGTCCTCGTCAAAGCCTTCATTAACAAAATGGTATTTGTAGGCCTCCTGTGATAAGGTAGCCAATAGCAATAGCATTTTAGACTTATATGCCTCTTCATAGTGCCACTCTAAGTGGCTTAGAGTCAGCATATTGCCCCTGACAATCTGGATCCTTATTTTACTGACTTTGGAAGGATGGAAGACTTCAGCTGGTCAGGGTTGAACACCTGGCAAGTGAACTGAATTAGCCTGCAATACTGCATTCTAACCACTTAAAATGTCTGTAGGTTTTGTTGTGGACCCCCTATGAAAAACACAACAAATTTGAGAAAAGATGAAGATATTTTATGAAATGGAAATATATTTATTTCATTATGTAATATGTAGACAGAATCTTTTAACAAATAAATCAAATAAAAACAAAGTAATACTGCATTAATTTTTGTATCAGCATTAGAAGCTTGTGCTCACTTAAATTTGGTGGAAATTTTGAGGGGTGAAAATTTGATTTCCAGTTTGATTATTGATTAATTAAATAATCCAGTTTGATTATTGATTATTGATTAATTAAATTTGATTAACAAGCTTGGACTATCAGTTGGTCCATTAGGAGTACTAGCTTTGCTTAGTTCTGAAACCACAGAAGCGAGTCTTGATACTGTAGCAGCAATGGCCTCTAGTTTTTTGCCATACAGTTTATCTATTTGGGACGTGTTTTTACTTTGAATACAGAATGTATCTGTCAGGTTCTATATCCAGCTAGAATATATCTGTCAGGTTTGTCCCAGCTTGCCTACTTAGGCAAGAAAGACCCTTGACTGCATTTGTAGTGAAAAGTATAGTTTTACTAAAACCAAATGGGGTCTATGACAATTTGCTGTGGGACAACTTGCCATGGCCAACTCATGCAGGATTTCTCGCTGCGGGATAAAGAGTTACGCTAATGTCAAAGAAATGGTGGAATAGAATCATTAAAGAAAGGATGCAAAAGGAGGGGTCAAATGCAATGTGAATGGCAAAAATTAAAATATTTTTTAATTTATTTAAAATAATAAAATTGTTAAATTGTCTCACAGCGACTTGTCCCATGGCAATGTAGCTCTGGCAAGTTGACCCATTCCCAGCCAAGTGGTTACAGCATAAGAAAAGCTGGATCTGACTATTCACATGCAAAACCTGCCTTTTCTTCTTTTCTGGGACCCTATTTCCTTGACTAGTGTCCAAGAGTATTCAAACTAGGTGTTTTGGTAACAGCTTCAGGATTTGGCACCTCTTTGGTGGACTTTCCCATTCCATTCTCATGTTCTTGGATCTGCTAGTCTCTTCCGGATTGGCACTTCTGGTTCCTGCCGTCCTATCAATCCTCCTCCCTACATCCCCATTCTCCCCGCTCCCTGTGTTTTATGGCAGGATGCCCGTGAAGCAAAGCAGGCTAAAGTGATTACGGTAATAGACCTGACAATGTTACTTATGTGGTCATTTAGTACTTCAAAGTAAAATGTAAGGATTTCTTTTCTGTTTATCTTCTCGCCTCAATAGTCTTGTGAGATAGGTTGAGGTGAGAGATAGCATTTGCTGAAATTCACCCTGAATTTGGAACTCTCATCATCCCTAGCCAGTGTGGTCAACAGAGAATGATAATGGGAGCTGCAATCCACTTGAATCAAGAGGGGCCTATGTTAGGCATGACATTTTTACTTACATTTGTTCTTTATGCCAACTCAGATTACTCTGCTATATAAAGCCACTCTTTTGTCAGCACTTAATTCATCTCTTTCCTTAGGAACTGGAACACCAGAGAGGAGCACTGATGAGTGAAATTCAAACTGCCAAAAACTCTTGGTTCAGCAAAACCTTGAACTCTATCAAAACAGCAACAGGCACACAGCCTCTACAGCAGCCTCAACTCTCATCGTCACCTAAAGAAGGCAGCACATAGTTCCAGCTGCACCCCATGCAAAAGAGCACAATGGACTAAATCAGCTGAAGCCCCTTGGTGGTTCTTCCAGAGAACTTGTTCAAAGGGGGAGGCAGGGGACCCAGCTGGGAAACCAATTCCTTCTGTGTCTTTCATTTGTTTTAATGTGTCCCTTTCAGAGGGAAGTTCTATAAAGGTTCTGTTTCATGTGGAATACTCTTCCCAGCTGCCTTGATGGAAGCCCCATCTCAATTCTTTCATATTTGACATGTAATTTTTGTAGGCCTAGATGTTGAAACATGGATAATAATTTAGAACTACTTGTTCCATATGTTGCTAAAATTATTTATATTTTTTAAATCTTCCAAAAGAAGAAAAGAGCAAGGTAATTTGTCAGAATGTCACGGTTTGCTGGTGTCTCAGAACAACTTCACATCTCTCACTCCTCCTGGCAAAAAATGCAGCTGTTATTTTAAGATTTGACTCTCAGGCTATATTAACAATGTAAGTGGGAAAACAGAAATTCTAAAAAAAAAGGGGGGGTGGGGAGTTACTAAATAAGAACATGCAGTAAAACCATATTTCTTTTTATATGTTGCCTTTGAGATTTCCAAAATTTACTTATATATTGCCACTACTCTCCCCACCCCAATACCATACCCTTTGCCAATCTGCAGATTATGGTCTTAATCTAAAAAAAGTTTTTATGAGCAGTGACCTTTAAAATGAACAAAATAAAATAGGTAAATTTTAATGGGTGATGGCACCTTTGGTGCTCTTGCACTGTTCCCATTAATATTAATAGGGTTTCTACAAGAGACAGAAAGTATTCATGGTAAAATGTGTCCAAAATGCATAAAGAAAAGCTAATTTATGATTGGTAGAGCAATTTTTGAAACGTTTCCTGTGTCTCTCTGGAAATCATACTTGTTTTGTATCTTTCTAAAGTGCAAAAAAGCATTTGTTACATTTTTGAATTGAACATAAAATGTTTATAAAATTGCTTATTTCATGGAGAATCAAATTGCTTAAATTGATGGATTTTTAAAAATTATATATAATGTGCATAATATCTTGCAGGTTAACATCACCATCAAATGACTATTAGTTGTGTATTTGGTTTTCATGCTATGAAAAACGTTCCAAGGTTCTATTCATTTTAATCCAAATTAATGCAATAGACTTTTAGTCAGTTCTGTAAAATAAAGTTTAACTATGCTGGTTCTGTGCTTCTTTGTTATATACATAATTTGCAAATATGAACTCTAAGGAGTAGCATAAAGTTTGCCTTCCCCATGTCTGGTAAAGGAACTGCTATTGCCAGTTAACTGTTGCTGGCTTTATCTCAAGGTGCTCAATGCCAAGCTAGAATCTGCTTGTCTAATACAAGATTGAGTGCCACAGAAAACAATCACGGCAACACAATCTGTTTTGATTTCTACATGATCATGAAATATCCATGTTATAATCCAACCGCTTTAAGGTTTAGAAATAAGTGTGAATTAATTAAAATTATTGGCTGTGGTGATCTAAAAAAAAAAAACACCTCTGGATCCTAAGGAATTTTAGAGCCCCTTTTAGATAGTTCCTGAGGCCCAGTTCAAATGCTTGTATTGCAGTGTTGCATTAGTGATACTGGGAGATTGGCAATGCATTAATGAAGTTTGACTCAGAGGAATCTTAAGATCATCCCACCTTTTGAGAATTGGAATCCAAGTCTAGAGTGGTTTTGAGAGGGAAAGGCCTCCATCAATTCTCTGCTGTTGGAAGCAATTTTGCGGAGCCTTAAGTCTGAACAGGCAAGCATCTCCTATGTTCTCTTAAGGAGACCAATTGCTGCTTCATTAGAAGGCAATGATTTGGGGCAATACATAAAAGTCTTTCTCTACAAAGTGTCTGATGTCTGGCCCATAAACTGGGTTACCTTCCTTAGCTGTCTGAGCCCATAAATAGTTGCAGGGGAAGGGTTGTTGCCAAAGATATGCATCCTCATGCAGTATTCTGCAGTGTTTTAGAAGGGTCGTTGTCTCTGAATCAGAACCTCAAGAAATTCCTTGTTCCTATTTAATGAGGAAGCAGTGGATATCTGCCATGAATGTGACAGAATCTTTATGGAAGTAGAATAGGACTCCTGTGAGTCTGTTATTAAGGACTGGGCCTGAGAGAAGGATGTCATTTAGCAACATTGTCAGATCTGCCATCACACCGCAATTAGCTTTGCCTGGCATTGATGGCATCCTTCCATAAGAGGAAGAACCAGAGGTACCAATCAAAGACACTGGTTGAGAGATCCAAGGACAAAAGCATGAGAATGGAATGCAAACACCCACCAAAGAGGTACCAAACCTGGTACTAAAACACCTAATTTGAATGCTATTGGACACTGTCCAGATGACCAAGGGGGGAGATCCTGGGAGAAGAGAAAATTACTAAATTTATACCAGAATAGTCAGATCTGCCTTTCCTTATGCTGTAAACATTTGGCCTTAGTAAAAGCATATCTTTTTTAAAAAATGGAATCAAGAGTTTTTCTTCTCTAAATGTCCAAGCTGGGATAGGACTGACACACATCTTACCTACAACTGGAGTCAAACACTACTCAAATCTAGCCTGTTTTCTTAGGGTGGTATGCCCAAAAATATGGGAGATACCAATATTCCTCATTGTCTTTAAGTGCAGGTGCTAATTCAGCATGATCGTTTTCAAGTATCTTTCCCATGAAGGCAAAGAAGTAATCCCTCGTTTCTGGTTTTCTCAGAAACACACCGGAGGCAAACCGCTTAAACACTTGTTCCTTGTTGGCAGGCACTGTCTTTGGGGTCTCTCTTGGAGGGGTACAACCCAATGATTTGCCTGTCTTTTTACTACTCCTTGTTCTTCTGTCCTCCAGAGACATTGCCACCTGTTGGTTTTCCTTTGTTCTGCCACAGACAGTGCACCCTAGATGGTCTTGGTCACTGTTGCAGTCTAGGCCTGTGAAGGGGCAGGGCACATGGATGCTATTTGGCAGGTCTCTTATGAGGAAGTGGTTGTGGCATGGTTGGAAGTGAAAAGGGTGTCCTTTATCTACTGTGCTGGTGAACATGGTGCTATCTGAAGTGGGTTTGCGTATGTCTCCCAGACAGATGTCCCCTATGATGACCCACCAAAGTTTCTGAGAGTAAGGAACAGGGTTATCTGGGCTTGCTCGTCATATTCTGGTAGGAGATGGGCTATGCATCTCAGATGAGATTGGTGCATTGCTGTATCTGGCATGGGAATTTTTGCCCAGTAATCTGGAATCTGCTTGCACTCAATTAAGGTAGGCAAGGGTAGGCAAGTATGTCCATCTATGGATTCTACGTTGAAGGCAGTACTCTCCTCCCTGCCGTCTCAGCAATGCCTGCACAGGTCCTGCAGGAGTAAGGGGGGCTAGGACCTTTGATGCCGAACATGTCAAAAAGGAGGTGGACTTGGCTAGAGACTTAATGCTTTGATCATCTAGAATCCCATACATCTTGATGGCCTTGTTCCTCTGGTCTTCTGGGTACACTCACATTAGACAGATTTTTGAGAAAACCTGCTGCCTACAAGATATTTGCATACCTCCATACACTGAGAGGAGATTACTGGCCGTGTTTGAAACAATGTTCTTCTGCTCTGTTGTCAGCTGTCTTGTCAGTCCAAGAAACTGGGCTGGGATGCAGGCAGTGCTATGGTCTGTACTTTTGCACTCTGTGCATGATACACTGACATTACAGTCCTTGGCAAAGTATGACATGGGTGATAGCACCTGAGGCAGATGTCATTTTCTTTTAGGAAGTCTTTGCAGTCCTCTACAGGCTTCTCTCTGAAGGTTCTACATCTCAGGAAAGGATGCGGCTTTTTTGTAGAGGGCACAGCTGCTCAGGATCTCTGCTTTTGCCCTCTGGGCAAGAGGAGTTTGGTGTACCTGTAAAGATAATCTGATGAGGAGACATTAGTCTTATGCACTGCCACTGATCTGTTCAGCTTGGAGTCAGGAGGTTCAATGTATGCCAGTGTGAGGTCAAAACTGGGATCATTCATGACCTTTGTTTTCTGAGAGAAAGTCTGCAAATACACTCAGTGGTGGAAATGGCAGCTTGGATTTTGTATTATGCTTGAACTTATGAGTATCCCACTTTTGTTGTAGGTCAGGAGGGACCTTCTAGACTATGGGGTTAATTCCCCTGGTTGTGTCCAAGAGAAGCCTGGCAGGTCACCACACTTTGTTTTGGCAGCTTGTAACTCTTGCAACAAATCATTTAGTTCTCTGAACTTTTGGTACCCCCTGCTGGTTATCTTAGGGAAATCCTCAGCCTTCTTAAACTGCCTCAATTGCCTCTGCTGAGCTGTAACACTCTCCCAGATCATCTTAAGACCGGTTTCTGGGCATTTTATGTTAACATTCCTGATCCTCCTAGCGTGCTGAGCAGAATCTTTCTCAAGCCATTGGATTAAGAGGTCCATCTCCACAGTGTATGATAAGTCTAGTCCCCTTATTGTACTTTAGAAGGATGGTCACCAAGCTCTGTAACTGGCTAATCGTTGAACCTCCCCTATCCTTTGATGATTACACCATGTTTAGCAAGGAACTTGGCAAGGTCTGAGGTAAATTGGTTTGCGGATGGGTAAGATGGTGACATGCTGCTGTAGTATGAGTGCAGTGTGTTATCATACATGCCTGACACTTCTGCTTTAGGCCAGCTTGTGCCATCCTGTTGAGGAGAAGAGGCAGTGTCCTGGCATTAGTATGATGCTTGAGACCTGTGATGTATAAAAAAGTAGGTGGCCTCTGCTTCATATAGGGTGAGCATCGTTTTGTTTGTTGCTCTGAAGTTCTGGGTTAACTTCCTACACTAATTCTAATGATATGTGGATGATTCTTGTGACAACACCCTTTGATTCCTGTGGTGACAGGATGTCTTCCACTGATCTCTTATTCTGAAGTGCGCTGCATAGGATCTTGCTCCCCTTATTCTGAGCCTAGCACAGGGCACTGTGGACACTGCACTCCTTGTCAGGGTCTGTAGCTGATTCTGTCTCTGCCATGTTAGTTGCTGCTTCTCTTTCTATGGCGAGCTTCTCCCTTGCCACTTCCAGACATGCTTGCTCTATCTTTAATTACATGACATGCTTGGCAAAGGAGGCTTAATTCTTGGCTGCTTCAGCCTTTGCGCAGGCAATGGGGCTGCACTGCTGATGGTTGCTGATTTGGTGCTATGAGCATCTGTAATCTGCTCTTGTGTGAGGATGCTTGGCTGTGGGATATTGTGGCATAATTGCGTAGAGATCGCTGGAAGCTGATGCCATATAAAACTTTAAAATATTCCTTTACCATTGTTTAAATGGTGTATCAATTACAAGAATATTGGAAATGTCTGAAACCCCCCCCCCCAATCTTTGGTAAAACATTAGTCTTAATTATAGAAATTCTATCCAGTAATGATAATTGTAGTTTATCCCATCTCAGTAAATCCTTTTTTGGTATCATTCCAAAGAGGCACATAGTTATTTTGAAATAGATTTGTATTTGCCAATATAACCCCCAAGTAGTTCATTTTTTCCTCAACCTTAAAACCTGGTTTTAGTTAATATGTCACTATCTTGAGAGGTCATATTCTTAATAAGCATTATTTTCTGTTTATTTTAAAAACTGCCAAAACCCCAAATGGCAAGGGGAAATATATCCAAGAATTAGATATAAACTACTGGAAGGTGGTAAGGAAAAAGGAGGTTTGGGTTTACCAGATTTGAAATTATATTTTGATGCTTGTTGTTTGGTCTGGCTAAAAGAGTGGGTGAATCTTCACAAAAAGAGGTTACTTCATTGACTTAGAGGGCAATGAATTCAGATTCGGATGGCACAGCTATTTACTGTATGGCAAGGTTAAAGTAAGTGTTGACTTTAATCATTTTATTAGTCATTCTAAGAGTTTGGAATAAATATAAAACAAGGTTTTCTGTGAAGATGCCTCTTTGGGTGTCCCCAGGAAGCTTTTTTAAAGAAAAGAAATGGTGGTGTAGCCATGGACTTATGGTCAAATAATATCTTTTAATCTTAGTGATCCTATCCTGAAATCTAAAGGGGTCTAAAGACCCAAAAGAGCGTGTCTGCCATTGGTTTACATATTTACAACTGAAAAAAGCAGAGTGGAGGCGTCTGTGCTGGTTGCAATCTCTTGTGTAACCTGGTGTGCTCGCTAGCTGCACTGGGTGTAAT